GGAGCCCCCGGTGGCGCAGTGGGTTAAACCCCTGTGCTGGCAGGACTGAAGACCGACAGGTCGCAGGTTCGAATCCGGGGAGAGGTCGGATGAGCTCCCTCTATCAGCTCCAGCTCCTCATGTGGGGACATGAGAGAAGCCTCCCACAAGGATGATAAAAACATCAAATCATCCAGGCGTCCCCTGGGCAACGTCCTTGCAGACAGCCAATTCTCTCACAACAGGAGTGACTCCTGACACGACAAAAAAAAAACTACCTCTAACAGATAAGACTATTTTCTCCCACCCTGGCCATTCCACGAACTCAATTTTCCTAGTTTCCAACAGACCTTACAACCTCTGAGGATGCCTGCCATAGATGCAGGTGAAGCATCAGGAGATAATGCTTCTGGAACATGGCCATACAGCCTGGAAAACTCACGGCAACCCAGTGATTCTGGCCATGAAAGCCTTTGACAATACACAATAAACCTCTAATTATCATGAACATTTAATTCTTATGGGATACTCAAAGTAATTTAGAAATTGGGGGAAAGGCTTCTTTCAGGCAGAGAAGAAAAGGCTTGGTCACATTATTAACAGCATGATATGTAATGTTACGCAGAACATTGTAGTAGTACTTCTGATGCAGGAAGAACACATTCCTCTCATCAGTGCATGAGAACAAATTAAATGTATACAGTATATGTTCTGAACATGGTACCAGTACATCAAACAATAAATAAAGTAAGTTAGATAAAATGCAAGAGAACAGGTGTAACTTTTCAATATACATAATTCATAATCACTGCAGATATCCTCAGCATAAATAAAAATGGATCCAGTTAGCTGCAAAATAAAAGTCTTGGTGCCACCTAAAGATATTGAGCCCCGGTGGCGTAATGGTGTAATGGGTTAAACCCTTGTGCCAGCAGGGTGCTTCAAAACTGGGGAGTGGGTGAGCTCCCTCTGTCAGCTCCAGCTTCCCATGCAGGGACATGAGAGAAGCTTCCCAAAGGATGGTAAAAACATCCAGGCATCCCCTGGGCAACGTCCTTGCAGACGACCAATTCTCTCGCACCAGAAGCAACTTGCAGTTTCTCAAGTTACTCCTGACACAAGCCCTATCTGCCTGTCCATTACTGCGCATTCAGAAGTAATCCTTGTGTTCTTAATGGAACTTTTTCTCTCATCAGTTCATTTTGCATGGGTAATAAAAACATCTACTAGATGTATATACTGGCATCAGTGTGCTCCATGGTGCAAAAGTGGGCAGCACAAATGTCAAACATATTCCCAAATTTGTGAAGTTTTTACCAGGATGCATAAGGATTACAGACCAATGCACTTTGCCACTTCTTCAAGTAAATAAAAATACAAAACAAAGCATCTACTCATACATTTTTAAAACCAAAAGCATATCCGACAAGAGAGTATTTTTTTTTATAAAAAACATTGTTGAGTGTTAACACCAGTAACACAATATGCATAGCATGTGTCATTTTTTATCACGTCACATACTGAGGTGCCAAGATACTGATTTTCATTTTGGGGAAAAAAGAAATAAGAAACAAAAGTAAATGAAACTTGGGTGTGATAATAGATGGAGAAGGAATGGTACTGAAAAACCACCAGTGATTAAGAGGGAGGAGCACACAAAGGTCTCTGGATCTGTCATACATGACAGGGATGGTATTCTATAATCTCTTTCCTTCCAAGTCTCCCAAATCATGAGAGAAAGGGCTGATATTGCAGGAAGATAAGTCCTCTTAAATAGGGACATATTCTGCATTCACATATGAGGTCATTTCACACAAAAAGAGCCAGTTGGATTATGTATACCGTATATGTTCTACATATACACTTGGGCACTTTGGTTTTTATTTAATTTATTTAATCTGTTGAAACCATTATTTTTAAATGTGTTTAATTAATGTTTTTACTGTTTATTGTTTAATTGTTATTTCATTTTATTAATTTGTCATTTACTCAGTAAATATTCTTTACTGTGTTTTACTCATGTTATGAGTTGCTCGGAGTCCTTTCGAGGAGATGGGGCAGGATAGAAATAAAGAATCAGATGTGTAGATTTTTTTTGCTCTCAAATCCAAAGTGTTTTTCTCTTATATGTTTATTTAAAATGTTTTCAGGCAGCTAACATCACACAAACGGTAAGTAATCAGCATGGGGGGAAAATTGGTTTCCTTTTTCCAAACAAATCAAATTATATAAGTTTTTTCCAAAATAGTCATGTGGTTTACACTCCTCCCAACCTCAATAAATTTGCTAAATCCTCCTGGTAAATGGTCATAGAGCTTGGTGGTATCATTATGAAAGAAAATGGATTGTATATGTTTAATTGAATTAAAGGTTGTATTTTTATCTCTAGCTTCTGAAGAAGGCCAACTTTGAAACGTGAAAATAAACCAGGCTTTTTGAACAAATAAAAACAATAAACAAATGGCCATTCATCAACATATGGATCTATATCTGTTTCGGTTTTCTTCTTATACATGCTCATCAGTTCACTCTTTTGGATAACTTTGAATGAACCTGATCTTATTGATGTACTTCTGGAACCCTAAGACGTGCCACAGGCCTAGTATTAACTCATAGTCTCAAAAAAAAGAAAGAAAGAAAGAAAGAAAAAGGCAGCCCTGAGGACAATCTTCTCTAACATGTGCCTAGGAATAGTGGCCACTCTATTCTAATTCAGCTTTAGGTCATCAGATGGAGAAAAGTCTATCTTAAGAAATATGGGGTTAATTCCATGCCAGACTTCAATGCTTAAAAATTAACTTCCTGATTTCAGTCTATAAGACTCCAGCTGCTCTGATACAAAGCCAAGTGTGGGACTGCATCTCCTGCCCATGCCACATGTATTCTGTTACCCAATAATGACTTCAGTCGTCTTGGCATCTCTAGCAACTCATAATTTACCTGGGATATAAAGGATCTGAAATGTGTCAAACACTGTTCCACACATGGGATGACTGGACAAAATAATAATAATAATAATAATAATAATAATAATAATAATAATAATAATAATAATAATATCCTGCCACCATCTCCCCGAAGCCTGGAAAACATAGTTTAAAATATAACACAGTAAAATTATAAAACATCATAGGTCATTCAGTAAAGGCTCTTTGACTTTACACATGAATTATGTGGTCTCTGGTCTTTCAGAAGTTTTGAATTTCAACTCTCCAAAATCCCTGTCAGCATTGCTAGTGGTCAAGGAATTTGGGAGACAGAAATTCAAGTCATCATAAAGGTGAAAGTTTGGGAACCACTGCTGTAAAATGTCCACAATTCCTTCTTTTCCTCTCTATGTTCCATCTTCCTGGGAGACCTCTGCTAAAGTGAATCCCAGAAAAGAAAGTGAGGCTTTAATGATATTTTTATGTTGACAAGAAGAAAATAAAATGTGTGCTTTTTAAAGCACAACTGCTTCTGTGCTGTGAAACAGTCCACTGCTGGTCCAATACCAATGCATTTTAAATCAGAGCTAGCATTCTTGCAAAATCAATGGTAGGAGAGAAAAAAGGATAACCAGAATAAAAAAAAGTCTACCTCATGCATATTATGTTTTCACATGACAATATGAAAAGGAGAGCTGTAAAGATATGTCAAGTGCCTCCTAGAACAGAACCAGAACTGGTTTTGCATTTTATTTGCTTTCAACACACTATCATGTATGTGAGGTACAAATCAAAAGCTTCCTCCTTCAGTGCTACCTCAGAGTCCTTCAAAGAGGGCACAGTAGCAATTTTCTTAATGGGGGGAGATGCCTTCAACAAGGGTGGCCCTGTGTCAGCTCCTGGGGCTCCATAATGTGTCCCCTCCAAACCCTCCACTCTCCACAGGGGACCCCCTTCAGCTCCCAGAATTTAAAAAGTTAACTTTTCCATAGCATAATATTATAGAGTTGGAAGAGACCTCGTGGGCCATCCAGTCCAACCCCCTGCCAAAAAGCAGGAAAACTGCATTCAAAGCAACCCCGGCAGATGGGCATCCAGCCTCTGTTTCAAAGCTTCCAAAGACGGATCCTCTACCACACTCCGGAGAAGAGAGTTTCACTGCTGAACAGCTCCGACAGTTAGGAAGTTCTTCCTAATCTTCAGGTGGAATCTCCTTTTCTGTAGTTTGAAGCCATTGTTTTGTGTCCTAGTTTCCAGTGAGTAGAAAACAAGCTTGCTCCTTCCTCCTTATGACTTCCCCTCTCAAATTTATACATGGCTATCATGTCTCATCTCAGCCTTCTCTTCTACAGGTTAAACATGCCTGAAGAACAGAAGGCTGAGAGGAGACATGATGGCCATGTATAAATATGTGAGGGGAAGTTGCTCCCTAATCTTCAATGGACATGTATACTTGCAAATAAATAAATAAATAGCTGAAAAACGATGTGATGTAACTTCCGTCAAACTGGGAGCACTGATACTGGAATGGGTTAGGGACCCCACCACCTACAAAGTTCTCTAGAAGGCAGGTATATGAAACTATGTGCTTTAAGAGGATTTCAAAATAGCAATGGGGAGAAAGAGAAGTACATACAGATACTAATCTTGTCCTACCCTTAATATTGGCTTTCTTCACCCAATGTCCACCCCAAGAAGCTATGCAGATAAACATTTCACCCCACATCTGCACCTTGTTTCTAGTAAAATCCTCTTATAATTTAGCAAGTAAAATCAAGGAATGCCAGAGTGGACGTTTTCATTATTTCATTTGGCATTAGGTTTAGATGATTCATGAGGAATGGTTTATTATTTTGTTTTTTTGTATATAGTGTATTTCCTGCTTCCCACAAATTCTTCTTATAGAATCATAGAATCAAAGAGTTGGAAGAGGCCTCGTGGGCCATCCAGTCCAACCCCCTGCCCAGAGGAATATGTGAATCACATGAAAACCAGCCTTCATGAATTTCTGTGCTCCCCATTTGGACTGTCAAATTTGGGTGGCAAACCAGCAATTCCACACTAAGCTTAAAATGAATGCCCATATATAAAAAGCAGGTTTTGGTTATTATTATTTTTACCACAGTTCAAATCTTTGAAACAAGCATTCCTCGTTTGTTAAAACAAAGCAGTTCTTCTAGTTTGGTATCAGCAGTGTAACACATGGCAGGTTCAGGGAGGCAGAACTCATGTATTGAGCTTGTCATATTTGTCTACCTATCTATGCGGGAGGAAATCATACTTTTTCTAGAGAAGAGCTAAACAACTTATGAGGCAACAAAAATTGTCTGGATCTGGTTCGCAAATCCTAGTATGCTTTCATGTTTTTACCTTCTTGCTATTCTCTGTGTACTGGGAGACAATGTAAGAATTTTAGAGAAGGGTTGGGGGAAGAATGAAAAGAAAGATGAATTCTCCCCTTTGGCACACAGCCTCTTCAAACTGCACCAGTGAATCTAGGAAGAAAGGTCAACTTCGAAATATTGCTTCTTTCTGAATCATTAAGAGTTGCAACCATCAATGTTGGTCTCTTCAATGTTTAACCTTTTCCTGCCTTTAATAACTCGTAAGCAAATTTATCTCTTCCTACCAATAGTGGTCCTAAATACAAAAATAGGCATGGGGACATGCTCTCTCCTGATTTCTTTAGATCAGTGGTTCTCAACCTTTTTTTACCAGGACCCACTTGACCAGGACCTACTTTGACCAGGGCCCGATTGACCAGGGACTACTTGACCGGGGACTACTTGACAGGGACCACTTTGACCAGGACCGACTTTGACCAGGACCCACTTTAACCAGGACCCACTTGATCAGGACTCACTTGACCGGGGACCACTTTGACCAGGGACCACTCTCCAACATTAATACCAAAAGGGGCAGGGCTGGTTAGCTCTGTAGAATGGAGCAGAAATAAAATAAAATAAAGAGGAAGGAGGTTCGCGGACTGGATCCTCATTCTCGTGGCCCACTGCTGGGCCATGGCCAACAGGTTGAGAACCACTGCTTTAGATGTATCATACTGGCAATGAAGATCCACATAGTTAAAGCAATGGTATTAACCTATGGATGCATGAGCTGTACTATAAGGAAGGACAAACGAAGGAAGATAGACACTTTTGAACTGTGGTGTTAGTGGAAAATTCTGAGAGTGCCTTGGACCGCGAGAAGATCCAACCAGCCCATACTCCAGGAAATAAAGCCTGACTGCTCACTGGAGGGAAGGATATTAGAGGAAAAGTTGAAGTACTTTGGCCACATAATGAGAAGACAGGAAAGCTTGGAAAAGATAATGATGCTGGGGAAAATTGAAGAAAAAAGGAAGAGTGGCCGAACAAGGGCAAGATGGATGGATGTTACCCTTGAAGTGACTGGTTTGATCTTGAAGGAGCTGGGGGTGGCAACCAAATGCCAAATGCAAGAAAAGAAAAAAATGGATAGGAAAAGAGTTGAAACAACAAAGGGAGGGTAGATAAAACATGGGAAGCCGAATGCAATGTGGCCCACCACATTATCCACAATGTGGCACTGAAGCAATTCACCAATGGAAAAGGAAGCGGCAAAGTGTGTGATCATGTTGGCATGACGAATGCTGGTGTATGAATCTTACTACTAGTCGATTCTATAGCACTTTTAAAATGCAGACAGTGGTTTTCTATCACTGTTATATTTTACTCTCACACTAACTCTGGGAAGTAGATCATTAGTGTCATTTCCAAGTGGAGAACTGGGACCAAGCAAAGGTACCCCACTCTTCCATGTGGCTCAAGGCCTAAAGACCAGACATAGCCAAACTTGGGCCCTCCAGGTGTTTTGGACATCAACTCCCACAATTCCTAACAACATAAGCGGCTGAGGGGGGAAAGGAAGGGCCTGAGGATGTTAGGAATTGTGGGAGTTGACATCCAAAACATCTGGAGGGCCCAAGTTTGCCCATGCCTGCTCTATACCCATATGAAGATGAAATCCAAACCTAGATCGTTTTGATTTTTAAGCAATAGAAGATATTGAAAAAATTAGCATGCTGACCATATTTTTACTGGAGAGACATTTTGACCCTGGTTCCTTAGAAATCTAGCTGGCATAAAACATTTCCACTTTTCTAAAAAGTAAGAAATATGAAACAAAGAGAGAGAGAATAATCAATATTAAGCGTTTTCATAGAGAGGTCTTAACAAATGAATTCTGCCAGGCTTGAATGTTATGCAGTTATTTCTTTAAGCTTAATACACAGCTCTGAAAAGTGCAAACAGTAAACCAAGTCAAACAAAGGAGACATAACCCCTCAAGAGACTAAGCTGATGGATTCAATAGTGGATCCAGTATTGAGATAGCTCATTTTGTTTTTGTACAAGTGAGGGTGACACCATTTTGTCATGTTCAGAAGAAGATTTAAGCAACTGGGTCATTCGAGCTATGTTTGAGAGTCGTCTTTGTTTTTCGTGCTTAATTCCACTGGGTTCGCATCCTTACCTACATTGTCCTGTAGACACACTGATGTATTTGTTGAACTGTTTTGACTGTCACTGGAGTCATTTTCAACTGCTTCAGGATGTTTACAGTCCTGAATAAGATTGTCGTCATTTTTGCCTTTAAGTTTTTTGGAATGGGACGTGTTCTCCTTTGAGTTCAAAGGACTACCAGATTCTTCTGATTTGGGATTGTGGCACTCAACATCATTGTTCTTTTCACCATTGCTCTGTTTCACCCTTTCGGGGCTGCTGCTGGTACACTTGCCACTCAGATCACAGTCTTCGTCGTTTTTAGTGCGCTCTGCCCTTTTCTCATCTGATGTTTTACTGCCTGAGTTGCAAAGTGCTGAGGCATTCTTGCAGTCTTTTGCCTTTTTATGCTTAGGAGCACAGCTGGTGCGAAGAGAAACTGGCGACGACAGCTTTTTACTTGATTTGCTTCCTTCCAGCTTCTCTTTCCTTGGCGGCCCCCATATAAAATGGTCAGCAGGTGTGTAGTGCTGCTGAGCAAAGCGTAGGAGTTTCCTCCTTTCTCTCCGGTCCCTGATGGTATACACAAAATATTCCAAAGCACTCTGCTTAATGTTGGGGATGGTGTCTTCCACAAGGGCTTCGTGAAGAATAAACTTCACCAGGTGGGGTTTGAAACTCTCATAGCCAAGTTCTCCGAGGCTCTTCAGGATACGGGTGATCCGCAAGTAGTTATGTTGGGACCTGCAAAGAAAGATCGACTGAACTCAAAATGATAGGAAGCAAAAGAAAAAGAATCATTCCTGTCAGAGTAGGGGAAAAGGCACAGGAAAAAATTAAATCACCCCTACCTGTCACCTTGACATAATGATGGTCATCATCTCTCAGAGACAAATGAGATGGGATGGGAACCATTACATGAACTATTAAGTTTATTTGTAAGCTGTAATAACCCTTTCACACTACTAATGCACCACCAGGCAGATACAGTTACAGATTAATGCTCCATTATTTCTCTTAAAAAGTAACTTGAAAGAGACAATACTGAATCCCAGGGAAAGTGCTTGAAATATACACAGGGTTGTGAGGACTACATATTTATATTTTATCACCAACACCTACTAATGACCTACGAAACCTGATAAAGCTTAGGTCCAAGCTATCTGATAGAGCAGGAGCTTACAATGGCGCAATGGGTTGGACCAGTGGTTCTCAACTTGTGGGTCCCCAGTGTTTTGGCTTACAACTCCCAGCCAGTTTACCCAGCTGTTAGGATTTCTGGGAACTGAAGGCCAAAACATCTGGGGATCCACAGGTTGAGAACCACTGGGTTAGACGTTTGTGCTGTGGACAGAAAGGTCAGCGGTTCGAATCTGGAGAGCGGGGTGAGCTCCCATCTGTCAGCTTCCCATGCAGGGGCATGAGAGAAGCCTCCCGCAGGATGGTAAAACTTCAGTGTGTCCCCTGGGCAATGTCCTTGCAGACAGTCAGTTGTCTCACACCAGAAGTGATTTGCAGTTTCTCAAGTTGCTCCTGACACAAAAAAAATCTGATAGAGCAGGCCTGCACAACCTGTACCCCTCCAGGTGTTTTGGGCCTCGGCTCAAAGAATTTATGACCATTGGACAAGCTTCTGGAAGTTGGAGAACTAAACATCTGGGGGGCTACAAGTTGTACTGGCCTGTGATTGAGTGTATCTCCCATGACAGCCTGCTCAAGCCCCAAAATTCTCAGAAGGACCATTTCTTATAGTTCCTCCATCTTCACAGTAATATCTGATGGAAGTCCAATGATAGAATCATAGTTGGAAGAGGCCTCAAGAAGCAGGAAAGGTCTTCTTGGTGACCATTCTTAGACTCTGTAATTCCCTTCTTGGTGAGTGCAGAATAGTAAAGTTAAAGCTTTCCCTTTGACAATGAGTCTAGTCATGTCCAGTTCATCTCCATGTCTAAGCTGAAGAGCTGGCATTGTCCGTAGACACATCCAAGATCATTTCGCCAGCATGACTGCATGGAGCACCATTACTTTCCCACAGAAGCGGTACCTATTGATCTACTCACATTTGCATGTTTTTGAAATGGCAGGTTGGCAGAAGCTGGGACCAACAGCGGGAGATCACCCTGCTCTTCGGATTCAAACTGCTGACCTTTCAGTCAGCAAGTCCAATAGTTCAGCAGTTTAACCCACTGCGCCACCAAGGGACCCAAGTAGTGATGGTCTTTTGTTGATAGGCAAAAACTTTTGTATTTTGACAGACGTTTGAGTGCTGGGTGTTTTTAAAGAAGCAATTTTTAATAGAGCACTGAACTGTTTTCAATCAGATTTTTTATTATTTTTAATTGCATGTTTTAAATTGGATTTAATGTTATTGATTGTTTAATTAAACATTTTTATGCTAACCATTTGCATGTTTTAGCCATATTTGTTTTAATTTGTAAGACATCTTGAATGTTGGCTGTGGGGAAAAGGTGGCTGTAAACAAGTTGATAATAATATGTAAGGAGACTGGCTTCATTCTCCCCTCCTAATCTGATATGTAGTTTCAGTTGAAACATAAGCACATCTCAAATATGCACCAGCACTTATCTTGTGCTGTCACATTTAATGTTTCTCAGCTGCTTCCAAGGACGCAAAGAGGGAATAAGAATTACATGGTTACTCAGGGTAGATGCACAAGCTATGTGCAAACATAGATACCCTCCTATATTGTAGAGATGAAAACCAAGGCTCCAAGGTGGCCAGGAAACATTAAAACAAGGTCAAAACAGCAAACGTTATTCATAAGGAAGGACACAAGCTAGAAGAGGCTGAAGCAGTTTGCTTTTGCCTGAGTCCACAGGGAAGGGCATAATTCTTCCTCCTCCTCTTTTTTCTCCCTGCCAAATTAATTAAGTGCAAACAACCTTTTCATTTTGAAGTCAGTTTGCATCAAATGAAGTAAGCTGAGGACAAAGAAAGTGAAAAGAGGAGAGAGGAACTGGAACATTTCAAAAACAAATGAAACACCACAATGCCCAAGGATTAAATGAAATAGTTGGACAGTATTAACAGAGTATGTAGAACTTCATGAGTATCTTATTTTTGGCATAAATCCCATGGGTCCAATAATGGATAATCCCATTATCCAACTCATATACGATAAGTAGCACAGTTATATAACATGGTTAGGTTCTATATCCAGTGCCTTTTAAAAACTTGACAAGGTAAATAAAAGATAAAGTACTCAGACAAAAGGGTGAAAAGGAAAAACATATTTGAATTGATAATTGGCAGAATTCTATCTGCATGTTTATTCCCTGACATTCTTCTGGATTCCATTTCTCTCTTGTGTGCAAGTGCACATAAACATTCCCAAAGATTTTCAAACTTGGATCAGAATAATACCAAATACAAGTATCATCCTACCATAGAGTATAGGAAAAAATATTGTCTTATTAACAAGCACTGTCATCTTGTCTTTGAAATAATAAGATATCCATATACGTACATAACTTCTGAACCAGTCTAAAACCTCTAATGGTACCAGATCCTGTGTAATCATGGAAGCTAAGCAGAGTTAGCCCTGCTTGGTTCTTCTATGGGAGACTGCCGATTAACACAAAATCACCTCTCGATTAGCAAACCACCTCTGAGTTTTCCTTGCCTGAGAAAACCCTACGAAATTCATGGAGTTGCTGTAAGACAGCTGAAGACTTAGGAGCCCCGAGTGGCACAATAGGTTAAACCTTTGTGCCGGCAGGACTGCTGACCAAGAGGTTGGCGGTTCAAATCCAGGGGGTGGGGTGAGCTCCTGTCTGTCAGCTCCAGCTTCCCATGCAGGGACATGAGAGAAACATCCCACAAGAATGGTAAAATATCCAGGCATCCCCTGGGCAACATCCTTGCAGGCAGCCAATTCTCTCACAACAGAAGTGACTTGCAGTTTCTCAAGTTACTCCTGACATGAAAAAAAAAGTAGAAGACTTAAATGTGTATGCATACACACACACACAACATATAAGTGTAAGAGACATCCATAAAATTTTAATGATGGATGCAAAGTGATATTGTGGCTACAGAATGGGCTTGACCATGCAATTTGAGCATACATGTGCTGGATTTTGTGCAATTACAGCCTATATACATCCATGGGAATTGGAGATGAAATAATCATGATAACCCAATGAAGGGAGGAACTGAACTGAGAATTGCCTTATACAGTCTTCAGACAGTTCCAAAGTATTTGTTGCTGGAAATTACTTACTCATTCAAGTGCTGGAATCTTTCTTGCCAGTTAGAAGCACGTGCTACGTTTCCATTTTTATCTGTAAGTTTTATCCCAAAAAACTCCAGCATCATTTTGTAAGCCAAAAGGAATCTTCGGATTGCTTCCTTCGTTTTTTTGAACTCCTATAAATATATTTTTAGAAGGATACAAAAAAATTATATATACCTCTCCCACACAGCAAACCTATCAAATCAACCCTACCATTCAAGTGTTCTACCACTCCCTTCATCATTATGTTCAACATAACCAACATAACCATTATGTTCAACATGACCACTGAACATCATTATGTTCAATGGTCATGTTTGCTCAGTCAGGACTAGCACAGCTCAGCTCGGAAGCCCTTTCATCCTATCAAAACCTGGGATTTGCAGTTTAGTGTATATAGAATACTCTGTCAAAGAGCTGTAGTAACTCCTCAAGCTACAAATCCTAGGATTCCATCGAGTATTGCCATGGCAGCTAACTTGGAATCATAGTGCCCTCATTTAATAGCGTAAAAGGGTTGTGAGGCAGAGATCAATCACACTGTAAGGTTATCTTGGGAACTTAAAGCTTTACCTCGATTTCATATGTTGTTAATTCCTTTGCATAGAAATTCAACCCTTGTTCTCTGAGTGGGAAAAGCCTGAATGAAAAACAAACAAACATAGGTTTGCAATACATGAAGCCAGTTTAGTCAGATTTATTTGAAAAAGAATAGGAAAAGTTAAACATTACCAACCACTGAATATATGTGTGATTATGTTCCAGTTTTTCATAGTCTCCCTTCCACTTATTCAAGACTTCTTCAATGTAAACACCTATAAAATAGTTGCGCAAATGCACGGTGTCAAAGTTTTTAGAGATCCATAACAAGCATTTGTTGGTAAATAAAATACAGTAACACGAAAACTAAGCTATCTTTGCAGATAAGTATACTAAATTATTTGACGGTACTAAATTACCTTCCTCTCAAGACATTCACGAGGGAATATATGAGATGAGCCAGGGTCAAATATAATTGACTAGTGACAAGAACATGTTTTGTTTTGGTGAAAGTATAGAAACAAGAGTGGCCTAAATATCCCAAAAGCACCAGACTCCACCTGATCTTGGAAGCTAAGCAGGACCAGACCCGATTAGGACTTGGCTGGAAGACCATCAACAAATACCAGGTGCTGTAGGCTAAACATTCAGAGAAAGGAATTGTCAAACCCATTTCTAAATATTTCTTGCCTTAAAAGGTAAAGGTAAAGGTTTTCCCCTGACATTAAGTCCAGTCGTGTCTGACTCTGGGGGTTGGTACTCATCTCCATTTCTAAGCCGAAGAGCTGGCATTGTCCGTAGACACCTCCAAGATCATGTGGCCGGCATGACTGTATGGAGCACCCTTACCTTCCCGCCATAGCGATACCTACTGATCTACTCACATTTGCATACTTTCGAACTGCTAGGTTGGCAGAAGCTGGGGCTGAAAGCGGTTTGAGCTGAAAGCTCACGCCACTCCCCGCATTCGAACCTTTTAAAACCTTGCGGAATTCATTGAGTAGCCATAAACTGACAAGCAACTTGAAAGCACACCTACACACATATACAATGTTAACAACAACATCATGAATAACTTACCATCAGGTTTAAAGGGAATTTTGTTCTTGTAAAAGCGGAGGTTGCACAAATCATTCTGATATCTCAGATCTTTAAAGTTCTGCTGAGCAAAGATGAAGAGAAATACAAAGCAGGATCAGCCAATCATGTCATAAGAATCAAGTCTCATGCTAGAGAAGGAAGATCAGCATGTTTTTAGTATTGCCAAAATGAACTCTAGCCAATCCAAATTTGTGTCTAAAATTGCAGCTTGAAAATATGGCAGATAAATAAAACGTCCTGAAATTTCTCCATGCCCTGCATTCCAAGAAAAACTTATTTTAGCACATTAAAAATGCAATTAAATACAGTAGTTCTGAACCCTTGTTTTTTAACCAGGGACCACTTTGACGAGGGATCACTCTCCAACATTAGTACCAAAAGGGTTACGAATCAGTTTTTGGTCAACTTTAGATTTAGTTTGGTTATTTAGGGTGCTGGTTCAGAAAATTGCATTGGATAGACCACATCAGCTCTAGTTTCTGATACAGAACATATGCCATCCAGTAGTCGCCATCTTCTCGCTCACAGAAAACTATATTTAATAATCTAGAGCTGGTGTGGTAAAGGTAATCTTTTGTGGGTACTCAGCCTCTCTCCTCCCAACATCCCTGCTGCCTCGGCACTATAAGAGGGTTTTGCAAGACCAGTCTCTCTCATTGCTGCATGGTTTCAAGGCAACAGTGTAGCAATGATAAGGCTGTGGACCATATTTTCATTCTTGCAGACCACTAGTGGTCCACAGACAACAGGTTGGGAACCACTGCATTAAAAGGAAAAATGCTACTTTGGCTTCTTGATAAGAACAGATTTCAAATTCCAGAATTTACATTTGAGGAACTAATGAAAATCGAAAGAAGAATCACTACGTGCACTACCCAAAGTAGGAACACTATTTAACAGTTTGTGAATCTGTCCCAGTATGTCTTGCTAAAGCGCTTGCCATTTCCAATGTATAAGATGTGACATTTGTTTTATGATGCTGTGTCATTCCAAGGTTAGTTCTCTAGACGATATGCAGGTTTTTTTTTTCTATCCAAAATAGCCATGGCTGATTGAAAGTTGGGGCGAGGGAGAAGGACAGATAGAAGGACCATTTAACCCTAACCTTGCAAGCCACCGGATTTACATAATATTACTTCATGTACAAGGATCCTGGTCTACTGGGAAAGACCATTAACAAAATTAAAGGGTATAGGCAGTTTAAATAAAAATGACAGATAAATAAAATGTCCTGCAATTTATCCATACATCAAGAGAAGCTTGAACATTATAAAGTGTAATTAAAGGAGGGAAAATGCCACTTTGTTTGTTTGATGCTTACTCTCTCATCCATACGTACACATATATGAGAGAGTGTGCTATTTTTATACAGTTCTACTCATTTCCTGGTAAATTTCTAATCATACACTCTTTCCTGAGTAGACCAAGGAAGAAATGTAGCAACGCATTCACAAAATTAGCTACAAGTGTTAAGAGATCCTTAGGAAGTTTTTTGTTGCTAAAGTCAGAAGATTGTGAACACTATCTAGTTGGAATCTCCACACAATTGAATAAATCAGTACAAAAGTTATATAATTAACCATACTTGTGCTCTAATGGTAACACCAACCAATATTGGCAGCAGGCTGTTCCTCAAAAATTAACAAGACTACCGTTCAAACAGTAGTTTTATAGATTTGAGGGGAACTCCACTAGAACTATTTTCTAAAACATTTCTACACTTCTATCTTAATGACTGCCGAAAAACTTCAAAACACTCTTACTGGATATTGGTGCCGATATTTGTACAAATCTCTTGCAGCATAAAAACTTCTCTTTGGTTTAGCTGTCATTTCGTTTGCATCATCTCCCTGTAAAAGAAAAAGAAAAAAAGATATTGTATATTCAGTGATGAGAGGCAGAATGGGCATAACTAGTTAAACACGTTTATACATAATAATAACAATCATCATCATCATCTTTATTTATATTCCGCTCTATCTCCCCAAGGGGACTCAGAGCGGATTTCAACATACACAGATAGGCAAACATTCAATGCCTTTAATATAGTGAAATAACAATGACACACAAATACACAGAACAAAGATAAAGGCTTCCTCTTTCATTTCTGGCTTCTGGAGGCGGTGCTCAACTCTGGCCATCGGGAGGTACTTTTTCTCAATTTCCAAGCTGTGGAGCCTGTTGTCCGTAGACACCTCCTGGTCATGTTGCCGGCATGGCTGTATAGGTGCCTTTTATTACCTTCCCGCTGAAGCGGTATCTATTGATCTACGCACATTTTCATGTTTTCAAACTGCTAGGTTAGCAGGAGCTAGGGCTAACACTGGGAGCTCACCCCGACCCATGGGTTCAAACTGCCAACTTTTAGCTCAGCAGATTCAACAGTTCAACGGTTTAACCTGTTGCACCACTGCGGCCCACACATTTGGCAGTGTGATGCTCCATTGAGAAAGTACAGACTATCTATAGAAGGGGTCCCCAAACTAAAGTCCATGGGCTGGATGCAGCCTTTCAAGGTCATTTCCCTGCCGCCCACCCGAAGCTTTAGACTTAGGGTCATCCTAAGAGTGAAACAACTTGAAGGCACACATTCTAATTGACTTGTCTCTCTCATCAGCCAAAAGCAGGCCCACATTTCCCACTGAAATACCGGTCAATTTATGATGATTAAAATTGTTCTTCATCTTAAATATTGTATTGTTCTTTCATGTTGTTGTTGTTGTTTTTGCACTAAAAATAAGATACGTGCAGAATGCATAGGAATTAGTTCATGTTTTTTTTCCCCCAGTCTGAAAGACCTGTGAACCAAGCTTCGGTTTAAAATGTTTGAAGACTCTTGATGTACATGCATCTTAGTGACTTTGGATTCCCTTTTCACTGCAATTTCTTGCTTCTCACCCCTTAAAAAAGGTGCTCCTAAAGCTTGTAGGATCTGCTACACAACAATGCATCTAGAAGAGATGCCACTGAACGAAAACTGTAGATAGGCAATATGCAAGTTTCATCAATGGCAAAACACACAGCCTTTTCATGATGTCTGTTCATAACTTTAGCTGCATGTCAAGAATTAATTCACAGAGAGACTTCACACAATCCCTCTGCTCAACTGCATCTATGTTGTGGCAGGCTGCTCCCATTTGAAAGCACACTCTGTATAAGCCATGCTGTGCACAAAACTACTATGGTTTCTGTTTTGGTGCTGACAAGTTTTCAAAAAGGCTGTTCTTTCAGAAAATTGAAGCATATAGTTCTATTTTGGGAAAACATTGCACACAACACTTCCATATTAAGTGCATTCCTATCACAGGCCTGTGGCAATTGCATCAGATGGGCTATTATGTAAAGTGAGTGCAAAACTTTTGAAAAACCAGAGAAAGAGCGTTGAAAACTAATTTGTTGGGCTACAATCCCAGAATTCCCCAAACAGCATCGTTACTATCATGCTAATTCAGGGATTGTGAAAATTGTAGCCCAACAAATTGCTTATCCCTGCTAGGGTTGTTTCAAGAACAGAGTGTAGGCAGTACTTTGTCTGCAGCGTTTTGGATCCACTGAAGTTTCAAAATAGCTTCCAAAGGCAGCCCCACATGCAGTGAATTACAGTAATCCAAATGAGATGTGACCCAAGCATTTTCCGTTCCTGCCAGACATGACTTCTCCAAGAATGGGCTATCTGCTATACAATCTTTTAATAGTGAAAATACAATCCTGACCATCACTGAAAGAAGGACATGCAGACTCAGAGCGTTACCCAAGAGGGAGCACAAACGGAATCCCAATTCCCTGATCTATCTTTCATCTGACCAAGAACACTTCTATCTTGTCTGGATTGAGCTTCAATTTGTTCTTCTTTGTTCATTCCAATAATGACAGCAGACACTAGTTTAGACAAACACGGCTTTCCTTAGAGTTAAAAGGAAAAGAAAGAGTTGTGTATATAATAATAATAATAATAATAATAATAATAATAATAATAATACAGACTACAAGCAGAGGCATAATACTGTTGGTCAGATGATCCACTGGAACTTGTGCCACAAATACCATCTACCTGCAACAAAAAACTGGTGGGATCACAAACCTGAAAAAGTTACAGAAAATGAACACATCCAACTACTCTGGGACTTGTGAATTCATACTGACAAGAGTTTGGAGCACAATACTCCTGACCTCACGATTGTGGGGAAAAAACGAAGTGTGGATCGTCAATGTTGCAATCCCAGGCGACAGCAGAATTGACAAGAAGTAACTGGAAAGCTTACGTGATAGGAGGATTTAAAGACTGAACTGCACAAGCCAGTAAAGGGGGTCCCAGTAGTGATTGGCACACTGGGTGCAGTGCCTAAAGACCTTGGCTTGCACTTTAAAACAATCAGAGCTGACAAAATTACCATCTGTCAGCTGCAAAAGGCTACCCTGCTTGGATCTGCACACATTATTTGCCGATATATCACATAGTCCTAGATACTTGGGAAGTGTCCGATGTGTAATCAAATACAAAAGCCAGCATAGTGATCTTGTTTGCTGTGTAACAATCTTGTTGTGTATCAAATAATAATAATAATAATAATAATAATAATAATAATAATAATAATGCTTTATTTATAATCCGCCCTCTCTCCCCGAGGGGACTCAGGGCGGATTACAACAAAAGATTGCAAACATTCAATGCCAGTTCCAATACATAAATAAAAACATAAAACAATCAATTAATCCACATCTAAAATTAAACATAAATGATTTAAAACAGCACATTAACATTCATTTAAAATCATTATTAAAATATAGTACATCCGATGAAGCCAGCAAGGTCAACGAGCTCAACTAAGCTAAAAGCCAACTGAGTCAAAATGTGTGTATCGACAACATATTAGCAGCATTGAACCTGAAAACATAGTTAACTTCTCTCAATAGTTTCATACAGATATTAAATAGCAGCGGAGATAAAACCGGATCCTGGGGAACCTCACAAGCCAACAATCAGGGGCTGAATTCCCCTAGCACTACCACTGCAAAACAGAGCCCTCTAGTCCCATTGCAGAAGGTTACCATAGTTGATGGTATTAGATCAGGGGTCCTCAAACATTTTAAGCCAAAGGCCAGTTCATGGTCCCTCAGATTGGGGGGGGGGCAGACTATAGTTTTAAAAAATCATGAACTAATTCCGATGCACACTGCACATATCTTATTTGTAGTGCAATTGATTTTTGAAAGAATGATACGATATTTAAAATGAACACTTTTAACCAACATAAACCTACCAGTATTTCAATGGGAAATATAAAGCCCTAAACAGCTCAGATCCTGCCTATCTTGATGACCGCATCCCCCCTTGCCCCCTATGAACTGGCATGGGCTCTAAGATGTGCCGGGAGGCCCTCCTCTCGGTTTCTGCCACCGTCACAAGCACGGTTGGTGGGGATGAGAGAGAGGGCTTTCTCGATGGTGGCCCCATGGCTTTGGAACTCTCTTCTCAGGGAGATTGGGTAGGCCCCCACACTGTCCTCCTTATGTAGGGACTTGAAGATGTAGCTCTTCAATCAAGCCTTTGAGAATATTTATTCCCTAGTTGTCCTGCGTAGTAGTGGCACATCCTGCACTTTATCCCATATCCTCTCTCCATTACTGCAGCTGGCATTTATTTTATGCCTAATGTTGACATCTTGGCCATGTTTACAGCAATTTACCACCACGGTTAGAGGACCGCAGTTTGACTGAGTCTGAGTTGATGTGTGTTTTATTTTATTGTATTTTATATTGTGCTCACTCTTATGTTTTGTTTTTAAGCACTTTGTGCCGTCCGTAAGCCGCCCAAGTCCCTTCAGGGAGATCATGGTTGGATATAAGAATAAAGTGGCTATTATTATTGTTATTGTTGTTGTTATTATTATTAATTAATTAATTAATTAATTAAATGTGGGCCTGCTTTTGACTAATGAGTCAAGTTAATTAGGACTGTCATTGTTGTGTGCCTTCATGTGGCTTCAGACTAAGGGTGACCCTAAGTGTAAACCTTAGGATGCAGGCTTGGTAAATGACCTTGGGTGGGCTGCATCCAGCCTGTGGACCTTAGTTTGAGGACCCTTGTATTAGAAGTTCAGCAGAATCAACTGGAATAACTCCACCGGCGCATTTCCCAGTGTAGGGCATTCATCAGTGCATGCAATGTACTTTCTGTGTTATAACCAGGACTGAAGCCAGAAGGAGTGGATCTAGATAATCTGTCTCATTCAGGCATCCCTGGAGCTGGGAGGCCACCATATGCTCCAATATCTTATAAATTCAGTAAGTAAGCAAGCAAAGAAATAAGGGAAATTGGAGATTGGATGGCAGTTCTCTAATATACTAGGACTTTTTTCAGTAACAGCCTCATCATCTCTTCTTTCAGCCAGGCTGGGAAAGTGCCTTATTGTAGTGAAATATTCACTCCTCCTTTTACTAGTGGTAATAAATCTTGATTTTCCTGGTTCCCAACAGATGCTGACATCATTCAATCAATCCTTTTTTCCCTTGCAACTGTCAGGACACTAAAGATCATCCCCGCCTCCCACAATGATGGAAAATGGTGCAGCTTGCCAGTAAACTGCAGCTTTCCAGAAAGCACGAGGCTTCTCCTGAGACTTGTGCAGCTGTCCCTGAAAACTGCAGCTTTCGGCATGGAAAAGAAAGGTGAAAGAAGATTCCTTTGACTGGGCAAAAAGATGCTCAGCTTCATTTTTTTCTGTCTGATGAACACTGAACAACTGTGAAAGTCGTATATTGGCTGAGGATGTTTACCACTGTGCAGTCTCCCCATGAAGTCCACTTGCTTTTCAGTTTTTAATATACAATACAGTCATTTCCCTGTTCC